CACAAAATAAATTAAGTCATCTTATTTATTCATCGGGTTTAAGTGACTGAGATGACATCAGCACAAAAAAGAATGTTAAGCAAAAATACCTTAGCAATGTTTGGAATGCTAACATTTTCTCCATTTTTCTCAACAAAAATGGTCAGCTTTTGCTAGCTACCATTATTTCCTTTTGGTATTTTTTTAAAAGACGTTTTCTATACAGACTCAAAGGTAATCCTGGCACTTGAGCCCAGATCAAGTTTGCTTTAGTGTGTTGGTGGCCATCTTCCTCCCTGCTTTGGAGTCAGTGCTAAAAGTACAATGAAAAATGCGTGGCTAATGATTATTTTGGTAACCATTCAAAAGTCAAAAGCAACTACAACATCGTGTTCACTTTTAAGAATCCGCTTTAGTTTGGACACACGTTTCTAGCAGTTTATAGTATTAAAAGAGATGTAAATGCTCGGTTAAAAAAAAACCCCATCAGATTTGTTGTTAAATGGTAAAACTTCGGTGGGCTTTGAAAGTTGTACACGAACAATCAAAATGGACCGTTTCAAGCCAGCGGGATGTTTTAAAACTCTTTTAATGGTACAAAACACGAGACTGGCGTAATTCTTTCCAGCTCTCCGGCATGACATTGGAAGTTGGAAATGCGCGTCCACAGGAGGATTTCCCTGGATTAAGTGCTAATGTAAGGTTAACAGTTGACTCGAGTTTCCTGCAAGCTGCAAACTATGAAACCTTTCGGGCGGGTGTGTGTTTTAAAGTGAGAATGGGAATCCGATGCGATCGGGAAAACAATCACTTTGTTTTGGAGAGGGGTGGGGGATGGGGGAGAGCGAGCGAGCGAGCCCCCCGCGCTCGCATCTGTTTGTGCGCTCCGGCTCCTCTTTGTAACGCTCGCGCAGAGTCACTTTCTGCGTGATCTAATGAAGGCAACCGAATTGCTGCAGTCAGGGGAGGTAAGCAATGCCTTACAATGAAACGCTAACCGTGCGTGTAAGCAGCCGAGGCGAGAGAGAGAGGGTGTGAGTTCGTAGCGAGGTGGGGGGAGGGCCGAGCTCCCCCCCCTTCCCCAAACCAGGCTCCTCCTCGCCCTGGCCAATCTAACAAAAACAACCGTGAAAGAGTGAATGGGCCACTAACGGGAGTGAGCAAACACAACAGGAAGGGGGTGGGAGCTCGATGCTAAAGAGCATCCCCTCCCCCCGCTTCCCTGCCTTCCTCTTGCAGGAGCTTAGCAAGCCTCCCCTCCATTCACCAAATAAAGAACCACCACCCGCCTCTTCTCTCCCCCCCACCCACCCCAGAAGGGAGCTTACTCCGGAGTAACCTCGTTTCTCCTCCTGGCGCTGCATTGTTACGCGCTGTAGCCACCCACGCTTTTGCAAGATGGGCCTTTGGTGAAGCGAGGCGACTTCGATGGGTGTGTGTTTTAAAAGAAACTTCGGACACAAAGCGTACTCTAAAAAGGAAGCCATGCCGTGCAGGCCGATTCACAGCGCCATTGGGATAAATGGGTTTAGTCACCTCTACCCCTCTCTCTAACCTCATGCACTTTCCGGGGAGTTAAGGTAGCGTTATAGTTAGGATCGTGCTTGCAAGGCCGTTGTGCGCCGAAGGACCTTTTTACTCAAGCAACAGCACAGCAGCTTCGCAAGTTTTGCGGGCCACCGGCAAGCCTTTCTGAAGCCATCGCGAAGTTAACCCAGGAGGGCCTGATTCGGGGCAAGAGATGCAGCAGCAGCAGTAGCTCAACCCAAGGCACTTAGTACTTGCAAAGATGCTGCAGCCAAGCCAGGAGTTCGCCCTTCCCCTCGCAAGCGTTTCCCACGCTTCCAAGCTCGAGCATCGCTGGCAGTTGGGAGCACGAGCATCTTTATTATTAAATAAAACCCACGAAATCTAAGGCGGAAACAAAACTGGAGGGGTTTGCGATTTCCAGATTCCAACTCTTGATCGGAATGTGCCTAGGCTTTATTTTATTTTTCGCATCTGCGTTCATTCATGGAACCGGCACGTTTCTTGGGGAATGTTGCACTGGAGCAAAAAAGGGAAAAAGATGCTGCTGCTGCTATTTGAGCGCAGTCAATAGCCTTCTTCTGCCACTGAATCGCCTCTCCCGCCTTAGCGTGGGAAGGGCGGGCGCAGCGGCGATAATAGTAGCAAGTAGTAACAGGAGGGAGGGGAGGGGCGTGGCCTCGCCGGCCGTGGGCGGGGCGGCCTCTCCCGATTGGCCGCCGCGGCGCTCGGAAGCACTTTGTTTTCTATGCTAATGAGGGCGGAGCGGAGGCTTGTGGATATTTACGTTGAGGCGGGAGCCGCCGCCCTTCATTTCTCCACCCCCCCTCCGCTTTTATCCACATGGTTCTCTCTCCTCTCTCTCCCCCCCCCTTCCCCAGCTCGCCTGATGCCGCCGCCCTCCTCCTCCTCCTTCCCGCCACTTCTGTGAGGGGAGAGGGGGGTGGGGCGGGGAAAACGGGAGCGGCGGTTGGTTGGTCGGTTGGCCGTGAGGTGTTCCTCCCCCTCCCCACTCCACCCACCACCACCTTTTACGCGAGAGCCCCCTCACGCGCCACAGCCCGCGCGGCGGCTACTGCGGCGGCCGCTTCTTCGGCTTCGTGAGGGAAACAGAGAGAGAGAAAGCGCGCTCTCTCGGCCTCCTTGGCCGTGACTGGAAAGAGGTGGGTTCGGCCCGGAGAAGCAGCCGTGAGGGAGCGAACGAGGGGCGGGGGCGGCGACGGAGATGGGAGAAGCAGCAGCGCATGGCGAGGCGGCGCGCGCGCGCGCGCGCCCCACTCTCTCTCTCTCTGCGTGCGTAACGGCGGCGCCTCCCGCGCGACGGCTCCTCGCTCGCGCGCACGGGGGCGGGCGGGGCCGGAATGAGGGAGATTTGAAAAGGCCGCGCGGCGGCCGCTCGCAACTGCCGCCGCCGCCGCCTCTCTTCCTCGCCGCTCGCTCAGGGCGTCCGGCGAGCGAGGAAGGACTTCGAGCGGGGAAGGTGCGTATGGAGGTAGTGGCTGGTGAGGGGAGGAGGAGGAGGAGGCGGCCCGGCCGGCTGGGGCCGAGCAACTCCTCGGAACAAAAGCGGGCACATGGGGGAGAGAGGAGGGGGAGCGGCCGAGCGCACCACGCGGCCGTTAACCGCCACAAGCGCGGTTCAAAAGTTTGGGGGTGGGGTGGGGGGGGGCGCTTCCCCGCGTGGGCTTTTGTTCTGTGGGAGGGGCGGGGGCGGCGCCGTTGCCTCAGCGGGGCCCTGGCCGGGGCTGCGTGCGAGGCGGCTTAATCCCCCTCCTCGCCCGCTTTCCCCCTCGCGCTATTTCTTTCCTCCCTTCGGTTCCCGCCGAAAAGGGGGGGGGGCGGAGAAGGAGCGCGTGTTTGAGGTGAGGGTCGCTGCGGGGGATGTAGGGAGCGGACGGCTTCCCTCCCCCGCCGCGAAGTCGCCCTGCGGTGGTGGCGGTTGTTGCGGGGCCGCGGCGGCGGCGGCGCCATGTTGCCGAGGGGGGCGGGGCCGGGACATGGCGGCGGCTGCGCGTGCTGAGGCCGATTGTTCCCAGTTAGGCCGCGGCCATGTGGGAGCCGCCGCTGCCGCCGCCACCCGCGAGGGGAAAGAGGGAGATACCAAGAGGCGGGGAGGGGGGGGGAAGAAGCGCGGTAAGGGGGCCGTGCTGGTTTCCCCTTCGGGAGCAGGGGGCGGAGGAGAGCAGCGCGAGGGCGGCCCAGGCCTGGGGCATAAAGGAAGTAAAAGGACGGCGGGCCTGGCCGGCTCGCGGGGGGGGGGAGGAGGAGGGGGCGCGCGAGAAAAGGGAAAATACGCCGCTCCAGTAGCCGAGCCCTGACCCGCCGCCACAGCGCCCCCTGGCGCCCCTGCTGGGCCCAGGCACCTCGCGGGCTCAGCACGTGCAAGCTCCGGAGAAGCCGCGGGCCCGGCTCGGGGGCGCCATTGTGCTCCCCATCCATCTGCTTCCCGCCACCTTTACCCTCGCGGACCCCGCGCTGCTGCCGCCGCCGCCGGGCTCCTTCGGCGGCTCCCGCGCCTTTTTACCAACAGGTAGTTCTCCGAGAAAGGACCCGGGCTCTCTCGTGTGCGCATTGTGGCTCGGTGGGGCGGGGGAGGGGAAACACGCGACGGGGAAAGTGAGCCTTGGTTTTGTTTTCTTTGGGTGCTCAAGGCTGCTTTGTTTGCTTCGCGGTAGCGGGCCCGTGGAGGAGTTTGGGGCGTAGATTTTCCTTTTATTTTATTTCCCACCCCCAAGAGTAAAGTTTCCCTTTGTCTAAGGGGGTAACTTTCGACTCACTGCATCTTTCTGGGTACTTGGAGAAATGGAACATGCACATGTCCAAGAAAGAGGGAATTTGTTTCATTGTGCTATCCAAAGACAGAGATGTCCTGATCCTCAGAGATACACTTTATAAAAAGACCAGAGGAGAAAACTATAGCTTACAGGCTCCCAACTGCTTTAAAAAAGCTTCAGCTTAATTCAAATGGTAAGGTGTAAATAATTTCTTATCAGTTGGAGCAGGAAGTTGATAGTGACTTTTTTAGCTATGGGATTTTGAAGTCTTTAAGCACTATGTTTCACAACAATTGCTATTTAATAATGCCTCGATACACATTGGTAAGAGCATGCTCATGAATGGTTATTTAATCTCCTGTTTTCTAAAACATCAACAGCATCCCACTATGATAAAACTGCCTTCCACTTTACTTACACATAATGCTGGCCATAGTTCTAATCTCAGTAACTGAATTATTGTTCTTCATGATTAGTAGTTTAGAGAGTGGTAGATAAAAAACCAACAGAAGTAGCCCTCATCTGGTGCAGAATTGTTACCATTGAAAAACCTGCTAATACTGGATATTAATAGAACTTTTTTTCTTTTTTTGCCAGGTGAAGCTTTGGAAATGAGAACATCCTCTTCATGCCAGAGTAATGTCAAAGTGCTTACAGTGCAGGTAGTGATATATAGAACCTACTGCAGTGAAGGCACTTGTAGCATTATGCTGGCAACTGCAGCAAAGGTTTTGGAAAGTTACTCTGTAATGGCCGCCACATGGTGACTGCTTTTTGTTCTAAGGTGCATCTAGTGCAGATAGTGAAGTAGATTAGCATCTACTGCCCTAAGTGCTCCTTCTGGCATAAGAAGTTGTATTTTCACCTAGTCATTCACACTGAATAAAAAATCTAGTAATGTTTTGCAGTCCTCTGTTAGTTTTGCATAGTTGCACTACAAGAAGAATGTAGTTGTGCAAATCTATGCAAAACTGATTGTGGCCTGTTATTGTCTACATATCAACATTGTAATGATTTCACTTTTAAGTTAACATAGGTCTCCAGAAGAGCAGTCAAAACAGCTTCTGTAGCGCTAAAGTGCTTATAGTGCAGGTAGTGATTCATAATCTACTGCATTAGGAGCACTTGAAGTTCTACTAGCTGTAGAACCTCAGTTTCACCCAGATTTTTCCTGTGTTCTGCTTTTCTATGTGTCTGTTGAACACTGTACTCTGGTTAGTTTTGCAGGTTTGCATCCAGCTGTATGATACTCTGCTGTGCAAATCCATGCAAAACTGACTGTGGCAGTGAAAAATCAATGAATAAGCGATAGGTTGTACCCCTTTCTACACAGGTTGGGATAAGTTGCAATGCTGTGTGTGTCAGTGGTATTGCACTTGTCCCGGCCTGTTGAGGTTGGTGGGGCTAGAGCCTGGAACAACTTTCCTTCTCAGCTGATGGTCCTGGAGCAACACAGAACAGTTAGCAATGGAATAGTTTCCCATTGCTTGCTGTGTTTGAGTGGAGTAACATGGTTGTACTGTTCCATGTTTGTGGTATACCAATTACTGTTTTCAAAATTCTCCTTGTAAAATCAGTGAAGTTTTGCCACACAAAGCAACTTGCATAACCTGTAAATGATAGCGTTAAATAAATCACCAACTTTGTACTTGAAAATCAAAACAGGTGTTTTTTTATTTGTTACTGAAATTTAATTGATGTATTATCTACCATAGATATTGTGCCACAGCAGCTGAAACAATCGGACGTTTTCCAGTCCAGTTTTTCAAAGCACCTACCAAAACACATTACATGGGAGCAGTGGCACATGCTTGGCAGCCTTCCTATGTCAAGAGTGAGGAGAGAATGTCAGGATGGGGGTATGAAATATCCTCTCGTTCTTTGATATGGCTGTTAGAAGCCACTGCCTCAGCACATGGGTTCATAAGAGTTAGTCAATAATTACATGCTGTGTGATATTTGCATGGATATAATTAAATTCCATAATATATTCATCCCATAATATATGCAGAAACAGTGCTGTTACAAGCTTCATGAAAAAATAGTAACTTGCAAATACTGGTCATCCTTTATATCTTTTGTTGTATTTGATACTGTATTGTCCTAAACTGTCAGAGACCTTTACAGCGGTACCTCGGGTTACATATGCTTCAGGTTACAGACTCCACTAACCCAGAAATAGTACCTCAGGTTAAGAACTTTGCTTCAGGATGAGAACAGAAATTGTTCTCCGGCGGCGTGGCAGCAGCCAGAGGCCCCACTGTACTTTTGTGGAACTTTGTAAATTTAACTCAAAACCATAGTTACCATCAGCCAAAATTTAAATTGTTGCAGTCACAATTTAGACTACGGAGAGTACCTCAAATAATAAAATTTACCATGTATGTAAGCTTGATTTTATAACTACACTAAAAGATGGAGCCATGTTGAAAGTAGTTTTAAATGTTACAATGAATTTTTTAATTACTCTTAATTAAGACTTTCCTTAATTACTAAAAGGACATTTTCCTTTGCGATAAAAAACACTGAAATAAAGTATGCTTAGATACGTATTAGGCTACTGTGAGTGCAAACTAACGCACAAGAATCTGGCATAAAGTGAGCTTGTGTAAAGCTACTTAAACTTGCACCAGATCAAAACCCTGCTCGGCAGTGGGGTTGCTGGCTGCAGCTCCACCTAAACCTTGCAGAAGGAAAACTAGATTTTAGCATAGTGTTTAATGCTGAGTTGCAGTGTCAAGTTAACAGAGTTGAACAAACCTAGGATCCAGCCTGTCTCCCCTGGAATATCCCCTTTTAGGGGCTTAAACTAGCCTCTGCTGTGCCAGATCAAGCAAGTTTACACCCATGTATCTTCCACTAATCCAGGGTTGGAGACTTGATGCTAGTTGAGTGAAAAGCATTCCAGCTCTTGAAATCCACTTCATCCTAAAATCATCCCACCAAATCTTGAATCAGGATTGCCCCCCTGATCTTGTAATACAACACATGATTCTAACGTAATTATTTAGGATTGAATTGCTGCTCACAATTTTCTAGCCATGCGGAATGTGTGTATGTTTTGACTGCAAGTTCTTTGATAGGTTTGGGAGCATTACTAAAACAGTCCAACTATAATTTGACCTTGCTGCTAATACTCAAATTTATATTACGCACCCTTAACTGCAACTTGACTTAAGGTCATTTGTGGTTCGGAGCTTTGCTTTTTCAAGGAAAAAATGCAGGGTGTGTGGCAAAGCTCAAGAGTGTTAAATGGGATGTTGGATAAGTAGTGATGTGAATAAATCGCTCTGTATGAAATAAACCATAAATCATTTGAGTATACTAGGTTTAGCATTATTAAATGGCAGCATACTTTGAAAGTGTAGCTCACTAATTATTTAAGGTAGTTGGTAAACTTAAGGACGAAAAATTTAAAGTACTTGGATAGGTGCTTTTCTTTGCTGTTCAATCTGGGAGCAAGTGAAGCAGATGCAATGTATTACTAGCTTGGTGGTAGTTAACCTGACACTGGATTAAGGGTATTCTCTAATACAGAATACATAAAGTAATTCCTTCTCGGTTTGAAAATATGAAATACTATCACCTCTTGCTGTATGTAACATACTTCAGCAGAGTATCTTTGTTGAATTTAATTGAAACAACTGCATTTGTTAGCGTTATAACATTCTAATAGTTATTATATGGTATTTAAATTGAGGGGAAATAAACTTTAATAGAAAATCTGTTGTGATTGCATGCTTAAGTTATAGAAGATTCAAAAGTAAACATTTTATGTTTTTACCTAATGGGTTTATGTATGAGCAATCCTAGATTTCTAGTTTAAGGCAGCACTGTACTCTGGTAACTCTGGTATTTACTTAAGGTTCCGGCAAAAACAGGAGTTGAGAAAGTGGCATTGCAACAGTATGACACTGCTCTGTCCCTTATTGTCCGCATGTCTGTTAGAGTATCTTGCCAATGCTATGACAAGTGAAACAGTATACAGTGGTACCTTGGTTTATGAACTTAATCCATTCCAGAAGTCCATTCTTAAACCAAAGCGTTCTTAAACCAAGGCATGCATCCCATAGCGGGCTACTCAGTTTACAAATGGAACACACTCAACAGGAAGCAGAACATGTTCTGCTTCCAAGGCAAAGTTTGCAAACCATAACACCTACTTCTGGGTTTGCAGTGTTCTTAATCCAAGTTCATAAAATAAGCTGTTCTTAAACCTAGGTACCACTGTACTTTTAACTGCTAGCATATCCCCCTCAAAAAAGTCAAAGGGAAGTTGTTAATTAATAAGATGTTGATTCTAAATCATAAGAAAAAAAACTTGAACAAGTGGGCATTCTAACTGGTTGCTACAAGTAACCAACTAGGCACTCTGGTTGCAGATAAATAGCCTTCATGCTACTTTCAGTCAGGCAAAGGAGCTATGCAAGTTCACTTTATTGAACGCTAAATGTCCAAATAAAAATCCAGAGTTGAGGGCTATATTTGCTAACAAAATAATGCTTATTCAATAGAAACTTAAAATATATATGTCTTCGAGTTGCATTTCCTCCATCCCTATTTGTGTTGTGTAAAAAAAAAGAAAGCATAATGTCATGTATGATAGTAATGGGTACAGTTTAAGGGATTTGTAGGTAGGTATTTTTAAACTACAGTGGTACTTCGGGTTACAGACGCTTCAGGTTACAGACTCTGCTAACCCAGAAATAGTACTTCTGATTAAGAACTTTGCTTCAGATGAGAACAGAAATTGTGTGGCGGCAGCAGCTGGAGGCCCCATTAGCTAAAGTGGTACCTCAGGTTAAGAAGAGTTTCAGGTTAAGAACAGACCTCCAGAACAAATTAAGTTCTTAACCCAAAGGTAGCAAAAACTTTCATGTTAATAGGCAAGGAATTCCAGACTAGATGCTGTCAAGCTCAGTTCCTTCCAAAAGCAATGCAGAAATGTGGCACTTGAAAAACACTTAGTTCTGCAGATTCAAGTGTTTGAGTGGATCATTTGGGTAAGGAACGGCCCTATTAGTACCACCTACTGAAACATTGGAATCACATTTCAGTTGCAGTCTTTAATCATGTATCTTCCACACTGAATCCCAGAGAGTCTTGCTAGGTAAATGGTCTCAAGCTGTTGAATTTGGCCCAGTGACAAACTGGCAGCCAGTGCACACCTCTGAGCAGGGGTTTCAAGATGCTGACGGTCTTACTCTGTCAGCAATCATGCTGCAGCATTCTACACTAACTAGTAGAGTGCATCTCAGTAATCCACTCTTGCAATTATTGCCTGGGCTACTATGATCCAAGTTCTCCCAGTCCAGAAATGGCTACAACTGTTGTACCAGCCAAAGCTGGTAAAAGGCACTCGTAACCAGCAAGGCGGCCTAGTCTTCCAGTCCCAAAACAAAACAGGAGTGTCCTACCACAGTCTATAAGCCTGCTCCTTTAGGGGAATTTTAATATCCGTGGCCGGCAATTTGCCAAAATACCAGACATGGAAACCTACAACACTTGTCTTCCAAGGACTTTAGTTCAGCTTGTTTTCCCTCATCCATCTCGCCATTACTTTCAAGGGTTTCTCCAGATTCAGATGTTGTGGGGAAAAAGAGCTGAGAATGCTGTTGACACCCTGCCCTAAATCTAATGCTGCTAGCAGCAGCATGTAAAAAAGAAAACAATGGAGATAAAATTGTGCCTTGCAACACTCCATAGTATAACTGCCTGGAGGTGAAGGCCATTCTGCAAATACTATTCTCTGAAATGGGGCACATAGATTTTGCAGACCAGTCTGTTAACACTCAGAGGGAATCTGCACTCCTAAGACTTGCTATACTGTACAAGCATACAAGAAGTTTACAACAAAGCATTCCAAATTCAATTCTTCCTCTTAAGTAAGAATTCTGTGCCAATATCCCATTGAATATGTGGAGCTAGTGACTTTTTTTGGATAATGCCACATTTCTAAATTGTCTAATTACATAAGGCCTACTTGTGAGAATACACATAAAAACAAGGAAGATCGCTTTTAGTTTAGATTCCAACCACAAAATCAAACTTGCCTTGTTGGGGTGTGGAGAGAATTGAAAGTGCAGCTGAAAAATCTCGTGCAAGACCTGTAACAAAAAAAGACACGTTATCTTCCTTGCAAGGGAAGCTGGTTGGGAAATGTACCCTTCTCAAAGGAATTAACCAGATATGGCTGTTGCCCCCCCCCCCCAGGTTTTGCTAAATTGCTCCAAAGCCAGAAGGTCTTTAAGAGCTTCAGATATTTATTTGAGAATAGGGAAGTACCATTAGCGAGTGTTCTAGTCCGGCCCTTCAAGCCAAATCAGTACGTTCTACCTCAGTTCAGTGACTAAACAGAATAATCGCCAACCTTAGGCTTCTGATTTAAAGCAATTTTATTAAAGGCTTTAACTATGTAAATGGTAGACTGCATTTAAAAAAGACATGCAATATTGTCTTGATAAAGATGCTGAAACTGGTTTCATAAACATACATAAGCAAACAACGGAGGTGGTCCCTGAGGGCAAATAGGGTGCTGCCCCACTATCACCAGTTTTCCCTCAGCCAGCTCCCACCTGACTGCCTCCTTATTTAAGTTTGGGCATGGCATTGTCATTCAGTTTCCTACTCCACAGTGTCAGTTTTGTCTTCTTAGAACTCGGGAGGAAGGAGGAGGGGGCAAAAACTACCATCACCTACTGTTGGGCTCCTTGCCTTCTGCCCTACCAGTCCCAGTGCGCAGCAACTTCCATGGAAAGCAAAGCCTCTTCATGCTAATGGTGTGTTGTGTCCTGGCATAGAATAAACTGAGTTTAAAGCACTTGTATAATAAGCAAAACAACTTGGAATACGCTAGTCATTAGCGCCTAGATTATTTTTTTTTAGGGCCCTTTAATCTCTACCTGTAGTCACACATGCACAGAAAGCAGCAAGGGCAAACTGATCTTAGAGAATTGGGTTGTGGCAGTAACATCACAAACCGAACACAGCCACAGATTGGAATACCATTATGTGAATAGCTGTACAGTGGTACCTCAGGTTACAGACGCTCCAGGTTACAGACTCCACTAACCCAAAAATAGTACCTTGGGTTAAGAACTTTGCTTCAGGATGAGAACAGAAATTGCGCGGCGGAAGCAGCCAGAGGCCCCATTAGCTAAAGTGGTACCTCAGGTTAAGAACGGACCTCCAGAACGAATTAAATTCTTAATCCAAGGTACCACTGTAATTGCAAGCTGAGTACAAGACATGCTATTGGATTACCTCTATTTCTGGATTCAGTCAGTGTGATTCAGAAAGCTGGTATATGCATGAAGTACAAAATTTAAAATACACCTTTTCATATATTTTTTCTTTTTTGCCAATAAATGCAGTAAACCGGAGAGGACAAAACCTGAAGAAAGTGGTGAAATCTGAATCCTCCCTAGCCATTGGGTGAGTGGCCTTGATGTCACAGAGTGTTTATAAATTGCTGCTCTAGTAAATGATGCACAGGAAGGCTGAAGTTTTGCTGTACCCCCTCCTTTCCTGTGTGTGTGTCACATAGCAATTGGTACCATAGAAGAATACTTCGTTTGGGATTCAATGTGTGCATGAACTGTTGGCATCAAGGCATGTCTAAACCTCAAGCTACCGTATTTTTCGCACCATAGGACGCACTTTTCCCCCTCCAAAAATGAAGGGGAAATGTGTGTGCGTCCTATGGTGCGAATGCAGGCTTTCGCTGAAGCCTGGAGAGTGAGAGGGGTCGGTGCGCACCAACCCCTCACGCTCTCCAGGCTTCGCACACCTCTCCGCAAGCAGCAGGAGCCCAGCGCTGGGCTCCCGCTGCTTGCGGAGAGTTGCCGGCATGCCGAAGCCTGCGCGCACTGAGCTCAGCGCGTCCAGGCTTCGCGGACCTCCCCGCAAGCAGCGGGAGCGCTCCCGCTGCTTGCGGAGAGTTGCCGGCATGCCGAAGCCTGCGCGCGCTGCGATCAGCGCGTCCAGGCTTCGCAGACCTCTCCACAAGCAGCGGGAGCCAGCGCTGGGCTCCCACGGCTTGCAGAGAGCTGCCTGTTTGGGGGCTGGGGTCGGGGGAAGCTCGAGCTTCCCCCGTCCCAGCCCCGCGCCTGGGGGGGAAATAATTTTTTCCCCATTATTTCCCCCCCCAAAAAAACTGGGTGCGCCCTATGGTCCGGTGCGCCCTATGGTGCGAAAAATACGGTAACTACATTTTCACTGTAGAAATGCAACATACAGACAGTAATGAGAATAATTTGTGTCTTCCCAGTATTCTCTTACGAATACTGTCTTACAGGGGAGTGGGGGACTGTTAGAGCTGTGAATATACTTAGGGCCTTACTTACTTGATAAATAATCCCCTACCTCTGCTCCTGCAGCAGGAGAAGCTGTCAGGATCCAAAGGGAAGAGTGGCTGAGCTGCAATTCTACAGTTCTATCTCTAAAAATGAGAATATACTGTGTGATCTCTTGTTTGTGCTGGTCCAGAAGTCACCTGCAATTGTTATGTTGGAAGCCTCAGCCAAATAAATTGCAATCTGAAAAATCACATGCCTCTAACAAGACAATTGTGCCTCACTGAGTGAATACACAGGCCTTCGTGACACATGTGACTGGGTCCTTTTGAATCCCCATTGATAATACATTTCCATTTCCTTGGCCATCTGGTGGTGGCTCTTAAAGGGGGTAAAGGTAAAGGTACCCCTGCCTGTACGGGCCAGTCGTGTCCGACTCTAGGGTTGTGCGCCCATCTCACTTAAGAGGTTGGGGGCCAGCGCTGTCCGGAGACACTTCCGGGTCACGTGGCCAGCGTGACGAAGCTGCTCTGGCGAGCCGGCACCAGCACAGCACACGGAAACGCCGTTTACCTTCCCGCTAGAAAGCGGTACCTATTTATCTACTTGCACTTTAGGGGTGCTTTCGAACTGCTAGGTGGGCAGGAGCTGGGACCGAAAGATGGGAGCTCACCCCGCCGCGGGGATTCGAACTGCCGACCATGTGATCGGCAAGCCCTAGACGCTGAGGTTTTACCCACAGCGCCACCCGCCTCCCCTTAAAGGGTTAGGGCTGTCTTAATGTAAACTCCAGGACTGGATAATAGTATAATGCCTATCAACTTGAAGTTTTCCTCCAGACCACCAAACGAATGAAAAAGCAGGTGACAGTGGGCACATTCGCTCATGTCACTTGACTCTACAAAACAACCCTAGATGTTTTGTAGATGCCGATCAGTGGAAAATTCAACATGAACAATTATTGTAGTGAACAATGTAGTGTAGTGAACAATTATTTTTCTCTTGTTTTCAGGTAGCAGTTCTAAGTCTAGAATAAGACATTTGAACTCACTCTAGCTACAAAAGCAGCGGCTGCTAAAGAAGTCAGAGACCATTTGCCTGTGAGTTCTGGAATACCTGTTCCCTGCTTTGCTGACTTTCTCCAACCCGTCCTGAAAGGGTGGGTCCCTGAGTGACTCCGGCTGCAAAAGCTGACACTGCTGAAAAACATGTGGGCTGGGGTTTTTAAGGGGGGGTTGCTGGGAATTTTTTTGTTGCTCTTATTGATATTTGTATCTTTATTTTTGTATCTTAGAATGATTTATGTGCAACTAGATAAATTATAGCTGTGTACTTTTTGATGTGTTTTATTTATCCCTTATGATCTCTTCAGTGTTGTAAGCCACCTTGACCATGATTTGAACTATGGAAAGGCGGCTTTACAGATGAAGTGATGATGTGATTCAGTCTTACTATAGTGCTCACACAGAAGCCACCTCTGTGGTGAACTGGCATAAGGCTTTATTTTACCCGCATCAAAGACCCATTTTGCTCTCCCCCCCGTGCGCCTTTGCAGACACACACAGGCTGGGAGCCTTAATGGCATCCCTCTAGATGCTTCACCTGCGGCAAAAAGCTTGGCTAGGCGCCCCCCCCCCCATTAGCTTTGGTTCTGCATAAGGATAGTGAGTAATAGAAAAGGGCTCTCTTCCACTCCTTGATCTATTCTTCCAGCTACCGATGTAAGCAACAAACAAGCATGGGTCAAGAGGATTTCTTTGGAAAGGCCCAGATGTGTCAGAGGCAAAAGAGAACCAGGGCAATATAGGACATCCTCTCTGGTCACAGACCAATCCTCTCCATCTGCATTTGGGCCTGACCTGAAAGATCAAGGAAAAGTGTGGGCACATAGTGGGTAAGTTCTAAGAAAGCAGTTTGTGACATGGTTGCTGATCGCAAGGCACCTCTGTTAAGGCATCAGCCTTAACGTCTAAATGTTTGCTGTATCTACTACTATTGAGTGGGAAAGCAGACTAGCTGTTGCAGAATATGAACAGTTGGTGGCTCCAGAGTTTCACAGATGTTGCTTTTCTCTGCTAAACATGATTATTATTCAGTCAGCGATACAGATTTAATATAACACTTCCACTTTGGCATTATATCTGAATTTGTCAGTCTAAGTAGTGCGGAAATGAAACTTGCACAGGATTGAAAATTAATGAATTTGCTGCAAGTACAGATTTACTTAAATTGATTTGAAGGCTGCAAAAGCTGAAGGTCTAAAGATTAATTATGATTTGAAATATGACTTGGTGAAAACTACTTATTTTCATGGCAATTTTGCAAAATCTATATTTAAATCCGAATGTTAAATTGAAATATATTCCCAAGATTTGTTTTAAGACACGAGAACTGCTGCATATTTTGGCATAAGTCTTGTACATAGGTCATGTGTATTCATAATAATCCAGTGGAAGACATACTTGGATGTAAGACTCGTGGGATAAAAAAAAAAGATTGGGGTGAAAGGTAGGTATAGGCTTTTTCAGATTAGGAGTTAAAAAGCAAGTGACTGTTCTAGAAAAGCCTCCCCACTGAACAGTTACTTGCTATCCTATTTCAGGGAGCGCCATTCTAGAAAGACCCTGACTTACCTCCATTGCTCCCTGAGTAAGGTCATTCCAAAACACCCATACGAAACAATGCCTATCCACACTATGTATTTTGGTTCATATACAGTACTAGAAAGTCAAGACTTCACCATAGTGATACCAGGCTGTCCTCTGGTGGTTTAGGGTCAGGGTTGCAGTTTTCTCCTATCATCCCATTTGTGTTAAATTTCCCCAAACGTGTTAAAGAATGGCTTAGTTCTTGAACACAGAGAAATTGTTTCTAGGCATATTTAGAGGAACATATATTGAGAAAGCACGGTAACATATTGATACTGTAATTGTTAGAATAGTCAACCTTTTTAAAGGGATTTCACCTTCCTAAAAGGCTGGCCTCATGATCTGGGCATATGTAGAGAGACACTGATAACATAAATAGCCAGTATGGGTGATATTCATTGTTAGTCATACTAGGTGTAGACCCACTGAAATAAATGGACTTCAATGAGTCTATTCTCACTATGACAAATTGGCAACATTTGTTTTTATTATTTATTAAAAATAAAGACATGCTCAATGGCAAGAAACCTCTTTTGCCAGTTTTGACATTGTAGTGCTATCAGTGGGCCGCAAAAAGTTGTTTTTAGGGGAGATTGCTGCAAAAAGTTGTTGAGCTTAACTAACTGACCAATTATATTGCAGATAACTCAGTTCTGCCCTCCCTAACCTAAAGCCCACCCCCTAAAATAAATCTTAGCTATGCCCATGATTCAGCCTTAGTTGAAAACCAAAGTATATTTCTACAATCCAATTATAGTTAATGATGCATATCCAAGGACAAGCCAACAGCTATTTCTCCAGAATTATATCTTAAGGTGTTTTTTTTTAAGTGTGGGATTGAGACTATTTAATATTTTGTGCAGAACATCAGTTTTTACCATGAAAAGATAATCAGTTCTTTCCAAGCTCCTGTGAAAACCTTTCACTAAATTATGTATATAATATATATAATTCATTTTATGCCATCTGTCTCAAGAGGACTCTCTTGTCTTGAAAGGCTGCTTAAAACTTTCAGATAAATAAATGAAAGAAAGGCAGAGGCTATGTAGATATTCAAAAGGTGTGAGGCTACTTTTATTTGGAAATGGGTGTAAAACTTCCACTTAAAAGCATGGGGTTTGAGTCACTCTAAAGTTACTTTTCAATCTGTTTGGAGGGAGGAGTTTTGCAGAGGGGGGTTAGAAAGTGAAGTGTTCAGATGCTACGGAGGCAGGTCTGGATGTGGTGTTCAGGTAAGAATATTTCTCCCGGTTCTTGCAGCTGATGATGGAAAGGGTGCTGGAGGTAATAAGGAGCATTAAGCATAGCTTGCAGAAAACAAAACTCCCAGAGCAGCCGCAGCTAACCTGCTTGTCTTGTTAGGATCAGCTCTGCCTTGGCAGCAACGAAAATAGAGGTGCGGAGATTCAAATGGTGAGCTAATCTTTCTCCTTGCAGACAGAAGAAGAGAGAGAGAAATCTGGAACAAGCAGTCAAGACCGTTTGAAAAACGGGTGCCTGTTGGGAATAGCAATGAAAACACTGAAAGACAGGAAATGCCCTGCAAAGCTGAGGAAAAGTTCAGAAACTTTTTCAACAGCAATACACCGGCCGTGCAGAGAGACTGCAATGGATACTTTGGTGAGCAGACAGGAGAAAGCTTTTTTATGGAACTCCCCTGCAGAGTCACTGCTTTCAGCCCAAGAAAGCAAAGTCATTTCTGAGTCTTTTCAGAGAAGCCTTGCTTGAGGCACTGAAAAATGCAGCACCAGCCTTCCTTTGATCTAGCTTCCTTAAGGACAAAAAGCAAAAGCATCCCTCTGCTCCATCTGCATCTCACTATCTGTCTTTGCCCTGCCTGGGCTCCTTCCCTGTTATCGGAATCGGGGGGGGGGGGTGGAGAAAGCAAAAGAAACTCATAAGGAAAGCAAACTTCACTTTGCATTGGAGCTGTAAGGTACCTACAGCGGTGCGTGCACTTTTTTTGTTGGTATTTGCAGCGCAATCCTCCACAAGTCTGCTTAGCAGTAAAGCCTGACTGGTTCAGCAGGATTCACTCCCAGAGAAAAGTGTTTATGAGGGTTGCAGCGTAAAGCGCCAGGAATTCTGCCGGCTGTCGGAGAGATGGAGAAGGGTAGGTCCCCACGTCCTGTCCATTGTTCGTTTCCTTTAAGCTTTGCGCGCACTTGGTTTCCTTTCCTCCTGCACGAGCAGAGGTGCAGCTGCTTCCCCGGCAGCGCTTGCTGTGGCTTCCTTCTGCTGCCCTGTTTCATTGTTTCCTCTCCACCCTCTGTGTTGCTCAGTTCCAGCAAGGAGATGGAAGTATCCTCGGAGGCAACTGCAGCTCTCTCCCCAACTGCAGCTGCTGCCGGGTGATCTCCGGTTTACAGGGAGGAGGAGTTGGTGGGGAAACGCTGCCGTCTGGTGGAGACGCTGCAAAGGGAAGGGGCGTTGCGAAGCTGCCATTAAAACGTGAGATGCAGAGCCCTTCCCGAACCACCCTCTTTCCGCAGCTCCTATGCCTTGAAAGCCTCACAAGGGGCCAGGGTCATCTAGTCCAACCTCCTGCAATGCAGGAATCTTTGCCCCAACCTGTGGCTCGAACCCACTACCTGAGATTAAGAGTCTCATGTTCTTAATCTGTGAACTGCCCTGTGATTTTTTGATGTAGGACAGTATATAAATTTAGTAAACAACAACAACACCAGCCGAGCTCCACCACAGAGGTGGTGCCGTCCAGGTGTTGTGTAGTACAACTCCCATCAGCCTTAAGTAGCATGATAAATAATCAGGGAAGATGAGCATTTTAGTCCAAAGCATGGGGGGTGAGCACTTCTTTGGCTACCCCGATCTACTGAGTTTCTGCTTGTCACACACTTCTTAATGGCACAGAACAGAGGCCTGGGATAAAGAAGGGGGACTCCCCCCCCATCCTAAATGAAGTGATTTATTTTAATATACACAGATCCATGCATGTTCAGCTAGTCAACAAGAGGTTTAGAGCAGAGCCATAGCTACAAAGTGGTGTGGGGGCTAGCCACTATTTTTGCTCTGGGTGAAGTCTTCAGATGGGTGCCAGCCTGTGTGTGTGCACACGTAAATGCACATGGTGTGTATGTGCCAAACAAGTATTATGTAGCACTTATAACAGTGCCAGTTCCATCGATCAAAGCAGTGGAGTGGGCAGATATGGGGTAAGATGATTTTGTAGGTAAACTGGTCTCAAATTATCATCTAGCCCTGTTCATTGGCCAGTGGATAAGCTCCCCAGGCAGCTTCAGATGCTGCTTTAGCATTAGCTGTCCAGAGTTGCTAGCTGACAATTCTTAGAAAAATGAGGAACCGAGAGAAACCAACACTTCAGAGATTCACCTACCCCTAAATGCCATATGTCCATGATGCCTTGCTAGATAATGTATTCTGGAGAAGCTCTTGAAATGGCTCCATCTCCACCAGCTGATCAGAGATATCAAGAAACATGCCCCCAACTGCAGCCTGGAGATCTTCCAGAAGGTATGCCCTCCTAAGGCTGTGTCTTGTTCTGACCAAGCTATGCCAAGCTCCCTTCTGCAGGGTTCAGTCTGGAGAGAAAAACTCTTGATGTTGCTTCAGCCTTTTTTAATTATTATTTTTCAGTCAGCCTTATTTAATGCTTATTTAATGGAAAATGAACAAGTAGTCTAATTTCAAAAGTGCACGGAAGTTCTAGGAGCCAATCCTCCTTTGTACAGTTGGACCAGGATACTATTTCCCCCCTCCCCCCTTTTTTTGGAGGGATGACCTGTTCTGAACTCTTCTCCTCCACATTGCAGGTCATGCAGTCCATTGAGAAAAATACCCATGTCAGATGCCCTCCATGGACTGAACCATCCTGGCCAAGAATCTGCTCTGTCTTTTCCCAGGTCACTAAAACTGAGTAAGTTCTTCTGCTTGCCCTTTTCCTAACTGGATGTTGGGGGTGGGGTGAGGGCATGGAGTTTTAGTAGCCAGTGTGGTGTAGTGGTTAGAGTGTTGGCCTTGGGCCTGAGAGACCAGGATTAAAATCTCAACCAAGATGGTCACTGGCTGACCTTGGGCCAGTTACTGTCTCTTACTTAGCCTAACCAACCTCACAGGGTTGTTGTGGGAGAAGTTTGTATGCCTTGGAGGAACATTGCTGTAGTGCAGTGAAGAGGTAAAGGCAGCAATCCTGACCCATTTATCTAGGAGCAAGCCTCACTGAATTCAAAAGGATTAACTTCTGAAAAATTATTTCACCCATATTTTCAATCCAATCTTCTTGCAAAGGGTGCATGAGTTGGACAGATGGCTTTACATAGCAGTCATACCTGAACTGATAGAAAGGGCACTATAGACTGCTGTGTTTTTTGCAGGTGTATTTTGCAATATGCTCTGGACACAATAATCATTTGTGAGTGGTGAATTGCTTTAGTTTGTTCTGCAAAGCTTCCCCAATGCTATGACACTATATTGCTCTCTGGAGGGATTATAGCACAACAGAAGTGGGTCAAACATAAACCAGAACATTTGTGATGTAAAAAGTTGTGGGATTCCAACAGAAGTTTGTGGGTTATCTACTGATTGGGAACAAAGCAGTTGGAAGTTGCTTAAAGGGTTTATGCTTAAAGCATAAAAAGGGTCACAGGTTCTCTGTCCCTGTGAAAGAGATTTATTTCCTCCTTTACTATAGCTCCACCAACACAGTCCACTGTTGCTCTCCTAGACTATGATAGTCCACAGGAATAGGTTTTTGGGAGGGGGCAAGGTCTATGACTTGCAACTACAGGTCACTGACTTATTACCACTACATGGCGCTGAAGAGAAACAATAGTGATTTACTGTATTCTATGGGATTGCCCAATTAACAATAATGGAGTAAGGCACTAGAAAGACATACAACTTAAATTTGCCCACTCAGCAACAGTACCGTAAAGTAAGAAACTATATTTTAAACCCTGAAGGCTGAATTTCACACCTTTTACACAGAATCTGTCTTGGCTGTGGTGAATGACAGACACAAGATCTGAAACCAGCCAAACACTTTTTTGCTAATGCTTGTCCATTCATAACATAAAGGGAAGTACAATATCTTACAGTCTGGGGCCCAAGTTGGCGCCCCTGCTAGTCTGCCTTTCCATAACAGCACCCACAACCCCACTTTCTGGGAGAACAGTCTCCCCTCTGCGAGTTCTCGCCCCCAAGCCCTCGTGTCCAAGTTTGCGCTCACAGACTCTCTCTCTCTCTCTCTCTCTCTCTCCCTCTCTCCCTCTCTCCCTCTCTCCCTCCCTACTCCCTAGGTGCACATCCACTGCACCAGCCAACTGTTTTGCCTCTGAAATGGGGCGGAAAGAGGAAGCTGTGGAGGGTGGGGATGGGATCTCCTTTCCTGTGGTGATGTTCAGGGCTCGCCCGTTTCATTTGAATGCAATGGGTGCTTATTGCTCACTTCCAAATCCGCTGTGGAGGTGATGCCACACACAAAAAAGTGCCACCTGAAATGGCCCACCCCCTCCACCCCTCCCTAGCTATTCTACTGGCCAGACGCCATCTCTTAACCCAACCTCCCTCACAGTGCTGTTGCGATGATGAAATGGGGAGGAGGAGAACTATGTCGACCACCTTGAGATCCTTGAAAGATAAAGGTGATATATACATATAATAAAAATAAATAAATAAAATAAATGGAGAGCTTCCATATTTGGTGGGTGGGTGGGTGGGGTACCTCTGAATACTCCTTGCTGTGACAACAGGATAGGGGCTACAGAGGCTTGTGCAGGAACTCAGAATAAGGTGCAGCTGCATTGAGATGCTCAAATTTCCCCCTTTGTAATTTTGGAGCATCTGTTGCAGTTGACATCATAGAACTGTACAGTTGGAAGGGACCTCAAGTGTCATCTAGTCCATCGGGACAGGTCACTGCCTATATGGCTTTATTACAGAGGTAGGAATTTTGCTGCCGCCTCCTATTCAGGATTTTTGTACTTGCATTGTATATGGAACAGAAACTTTTTCATATTGTCTCTTAAAAAAAGTAACTGTCAGTCTTGTGGTTAACTTCCTCGTCTTCAGCTAAATTAAAATACAATTGATCCAACATTTCCCAGTACATTTTCATTTAAAAAGTTGACTTCCCTGCCACCCTTCCATGGTTTTCTCATGATTATCTTTTGCTGCTGCATATTATAACTAATCTATACCTTCTTATCTCAATTTTATTCTCACAATAACTTTTACTTCTGAACTTAGTCCAAACCTCTGAGCGTACTTACATATTTACAATCATTTTTAAAATAGTCCAGAAACATTTTCCATTCCTCCTTGAAAACTGTTTCATTTTGTTCTCCGATTTTACTAGTTAAACTTGCTAATTCTGCATTTTCCATCCATTTCAACTGCCACTCCTCCTTCGTGGGTATTGCCTCCTCACACCATATTGGGGCATATAATACTTTCATTGAAGAAGTCACATACATAAATAGTTTTCCTGTGCATTTTCAGATGGGGGAGTGGACATCACCAGTGCCACCTGGAGTTGCTGCCCAAGCTTGAACACCTGCATGCATAGCAGATTGTCGAATCCTGTGCTATGAACACCCCTAGACCTGGGAAGTCTTCTACTATATTTAAAAGGGCATGGGGATCGTTTCCCTTTAGAAAAGTGGCTGAATGAAGAATGAGCTGAAATGAAGACGTGAACCTCAAGAGAGAAGATTCAGCAAACCTGCAGATGGAACAGCAATGTGCCTCCAAGTTCTGAAGAAGCATCACAACTCAGGAGGGGCAAGGTTGGCCCAGGGTCAAAGTGGGTGGGTGGCCATGGTAGCAAAGATTTGCCTTCCTTTGTGACATCTCTTGCTTCTTTCTTAAAAGCCACCGAGTGTAGGGGTCCACTGTGGGTTAGGGAGGAGAGGTCAGAGGAGAGAGGAGTGGTTAGAGTTGGGGAATGGAGGTAAGAGAAGATTCAGCAAACCTGCAGATAGAACAGAAGGTGCCTCAAAGTTCTGAAGAAGCATCACAGCTCAGGAGGAGCAAGATAGGCCCAGGGTCAAGGTGGGTGGGTTACTATGGTAGCAAAGACTTGCCCTCCTTTGTGATATCTCTTGCTTCTCTCTTAAAAGCTACCAAGTGCAGGTGTCCATTGTGGGTTAGTGAGCAGAGGGATGGTTGGAGTTCATGAAAGGAGGTTCAGGAGATGCTTTTGATTATTATTTGCTTTTTTGCTTTTTGATTACTTTGATTTTATTTGATTTTTTTATTTTAATTTTTAAATATTCTTTATTTTGTTTTAATATCTGTTGCTCTTTACTTTAATATTGTAATTTTTTATTCTTTAATATTTTTATTTTTACATTTTTATTTTTGTGCATAATTGTGCATATTTTATATACTTTGTATATATTCATTCTGTATATATTTTACATATAGAGGGATAGTTAGGGTTAGGTGTAGGCTTAGGGCTGGGGTTGAAGTTAGGCTTGGGTGGGCATTTTAGCTAGTTAGGTAGTATTGATAGGAGGGAGGACTTCTCTGGACAGCATGTTCAGAGTGTCAGTAGGATTTCTTCCCCTTCTCTTTGTCTCCTGGGGTGAGGGTCTCCTGCACAGCCTTGGCTCCCTTGAAATCATCTTGGCCACTCATTTCACTCCTGAAGAGCTCAGTTTCTCCACACTCCCTGCATTCCCATTTTCTGTCCTAGAGAACATTTATCCTCTGTTCTCCTGGGGAAACTGGGCCAATTTGGAGAGTACCCCATGATCCTTGTCTTGGCCCTGGAAGCCCTTCTGCAGTTGAGGTGAATTGTGTCTTTTTAACGGATGGGGTTATGGCGTTGGGGGAAGAACTCCGGGATAAGCTCAGTGTGGGGAATTGCAGGCAAGAGGGATAATGGGACAAGGAAGACTCAGAGGAGGCAGAGTCTAACACTGTCCTCTCCAGCTTCGTTAAGCCAGAATTTGGCTCAGACTTCTGGCATGATCGTCCATACAACTTTTCAGGCAGTCCTGGAAGAAGAAAACAAGCACAAGGACATATGTTGTTAGCCTTCACTTCTCTTTACATGGCTCTTTCTTTATTCTTCTATTGTTTAGGGGAGCTTTTAATGTTTGATGCATTACTTTATTTTAATATTGTGTTGGAAGCCGCCCAGAGTGGCTGGGGAGACCCAGCCAGATGGGCGGGGTATAAATAATAAATTATTATTATTATTATTCACACACTTCCAATAATTTTACTTTTGACTCAAAATATCTTCCTTCGTTGCACTCTGTGGATCTGCTGGTTTTAAAATGGGTGTCACTAACATGAACTGAAGGGACATTTCCACTGCTGCTCTGGGGCCTTCAGAATGAGGCCCCCAATGCTGCAAACCACCTCCTGCTGAGCGTAAGTGTCCTGATGGCATCAGGGATTGTTAAGGACTTCAAGAAACTCCATGGTGGGGGGGGGGGCACATTGGTGACAATCTTAAATGGTGGATGAGATCAGATTATCATTTTCTCTGATACTGTATTGTTTGCTTGGATGGGGAAAAAAAGGGGTGGTGGTAAGGGAAAGTTGTGAAAAGTGTAATATAGTAATGGTGCCAAAGAAAGTGGTATGTGTGTGTAAAATAGAGGTATGAGATCTTGATTTTTTAACTGATTCAGAGAGAGAGAATGGATTATATTGGGGGCAATATACCTCTTGTCGATTATTGGTCCTAACTCCTAGGTTTTGGAGGTGGCTCCCAGATCTTGACCAAAGCATGGGATTTATAGTCTCTCCCTCCTTTCTCTCTTTACTGCCAGCAATGAGATGCCACTATGGCTAATAGTTTAATATGAACATTATTATTAGGCTTCAGGCCAAACTTCAAGTTCTTGCTGTCATTTTAAGATCAAAGTTGAGGCTGTCTCATGTTGGCTCCACAATCCCAGGAAAGTGGAATCTGAAGGATGATGTTTTAACAGATGTGCTCTGTGAAGTTGTGGTGATTGTTACATATTGTGCTTGATTAAAAGAAACCTTCCAGGCACCTGCACTTTTCCTTGAACATTCAGGCCCGAATCCCAATGAAGTAGTTAATCAGTGTTGATGACTTGAGGATGAACATATAAGCAAATTGTTTCGGCTACCTTGAGACAACCCAAGTTAAGGACTTTTGGGTTCCATTGATTTTAGTGGGTGTGTCAAGCATGCACTCAAATCCCTTTCAGTGAGATTAATGGGACTTAAAAAAATTCCTATGTTTGGGTGTGCTTGGGTTGAAGAATTTACACAGAATAAAGTTGGATAGAATGACTAAATGACATAAGGGCCAAAATGAATATTGTGCATATCTATATAGCTATGATACTGTATATATGAAAATAAGTATTACTGGAAAATTACTGGAGTCACTTTAGCAGAGATAAAACATGTATGCATTGTTTTGCTGCCATTTTTCAGCCAGCTGGCTTCTTTTGATATATTTTTCTCCTATCGTAAGTCTTGATTTAAACGTATTCTCTCCGGTAGAATTGGCAGCTTTCCAACATGCACTCAACTTTTAACATTGTGTAGCAGTGAGAATTTTGGTATGTGCAGTTTCTCAAACCACTGAACCTCTGGCATGACAATCTGCACTTGGTGAATTTCCATCTCCTACATAGATACTAAAAGCAACAGGACTCCTAAGGTGGAAATGCTAGCTATTCCTGTCTTATTGGTTTTTGTGAGATCTTCAGAACTCCATACACACTGCCCAGGCTTGTGTCTCAGGGAGGTCACTACGCAGTTTGACTTCTCCCCTGGAGGCACACTCCATGGTCTCTCCAGATGGACCGATGCCAACAACCAGAGCATAAACAACAGAAGCTAGGCTATCCCTGTCAAGTGGTAGTGCAGCATGACAAGTGAAGGATACACACCAGATTCAGCTCTTGGAGGACCAAGAATTTGGGGGCGGGGGTGTCATCCATACCAGTCTGTAGCTGGCCCAACTAATTTCCATTGGAACAAATTTCGGGTTTTTGGTCTTTTTGCAAAAAATAACCAAAATGGGGTGCATAGGAGCCAGCTCCTTAGGTCCCTTTGCTCCCCCAATAAAATATTTGAGCCCCCCCAATTGCTTATCATTGCCATTGAAATAGTGTGTGTGCAACACATTGTATGATTGATTATGTAGGGTGGGGTTTACTTGGGCCCGCCAATATTTTATTGGAAGTTGGCACCCCGTTGGGTATGTGTGTGTGTGAGAGAGAGGCAATCTTACCTTTTGCTCTGGTAGGGGTTTGGAAGTAACAGATCCTTCCTTTCTAGAATTGCACACTTAATTCACAAAGTGTTATAGAAGTGTTAAAACCTTGACGATAAAACATTGTATATTGATTATGCACAATCGAATGCAGGATCTTTGATTCAAATTGTTCACTAGACACGGTTAGGGACAGAAGTATAATTTCATAGCTCTACTTAAAATGCTTACTTTCACATATCTGATGATAACAATTATAGCTAGACTTGAGGTAAGCTACACTTTCAAATGCAGTCAATTCAGAAATTGTAACCAGCCCATCTCATGTGAGTTGTTACTAACATTTCTTCTTGCCTGGGCATATTGGAATCACTGCAACACTGTTACCTCCAAGTTTCCTTTTTCTCTTTCCAAACTTGGCTTGGGGTATGCAAATTCCACCTTCTTTGAGTCATAAAATGTGACACAGAGCCCATTAGAAACCTGCATACTGAAAACCTCATTATGACAATGATTAGAGGCTCATCTGGACAAAGTAATCAGATGATTACACAACTAATAGTTTTCTTGTTCTAGCCATGCTCTAACAAGGTAATGCTGCTTAACACAGCTTTGTTCCAGCACAAGCCGTAGTTGCAATTAGTAGTTAGGGCTGTGCCAAAATTTTGCATCCAATATGTCAAAAGTCTCCCCTTTCCCCTATGAAAAAGGCTTCTATTTAGGGTATCGAAAGGTGTTATAAAGAGAGATACCCAGTCCCCTGCTTTTCTTATGTAAGGGAAGTAGCAAATTTCTCCCACCAATTTCACAAACTGTGGAGACTGTATTAGATTAAATTTGATATTATAATAATAATAATAATAATAATAATAATAATAATAATACCCCACCTGTCTGACTGTGTTACACCAGCAACTCTGGGCGGCTTCCAGCATACATAAAAACATAATAAAACACTAAACATTAAAAACTTCACTATACAGAACTGCCTTCAGTTGTCTTCTGTAGGTTTTTTTAAAAAATGTATATATTTAATATTATAGTATAATAAAGACAATTTTGAGTGATAGTGCTGGGCTCAAACTGGAGTCCACAGTAGCCACATGTTCCCATTTTGGTATCTTTGTCCAAGTTCATGTACAGTCATACCTCGGGTTGAATATGCTTCGGGATGAGCGCGTTCGAGTTGCACTCCGTGGCAGCCCGGAAGTAATAGAGCGTGTTACTTCCGGGTTTCGCCGCTTACGCATGTGCAGACGCGCAAAATGATGTCATGCGCAGAAGCGCTGAAACGTGACCCGCGCACGTGCAGACTCGCGGACACGGGTTATGTTTGCTTCTAGATGCAAACGGGGCTCCGGAACGGATCCTGCTCGCATCTAGAGGTAACACTGTACACTTTAGGGTGTCCCAGAGCTCTGCGGCCACCGTCCCAGGATGGTGTTGAAAATCTGGTTTGCTGAATGATCAACCAATTGCAAAGCTTTCATTCACCTCTGATGACCAGCAAATTGAGCCTGCCTGTAGTTAGCTTTCTCATACATCACCTTGAGATTGTGGCTTGTAAGGTGATTAATGCCTCAAGAATAATAAGAATAGAACAAATGATTATTATTTTGAAACTTCCTTGGTAGTGACCACCATTATGTAGCCATGAAATTGCAGCAGCATTTTGGCTACGCAGGCTGAAGTCCCCTCTTTTTACATTACTGTTAAATGTCCAGGAGCCCTGTATGGTGCTTTGTTTTGTTTTGCTTTGTTTTTTACTGTGTATCTGGCCACCCATTGATAGAGCAAAGCGTTACTCCCTTGTGTAACAAAGCAGCTGAAAACATGCAGTTCCCCTGAAACAGTTCATTCTTTGAAGCACCACTTGAAGGCCGGAGGCTCATGTAATGTTTTTTACTGGACTGAGCGGTCATCGGCTGAGTATTTGCCAAGGAACAGGTGCTATAAAAGCAGATCGGAACAAAACTAAAACTACCCGGCTGATTTAGAGGTGCCTGAAAATGGAATTAGGCTGCCACCTAATGGACAAAATTGGCATTTGTTTATTCAGATCCTTTCAGATGATTAAGTGGAATTTAAATGCTTATCCATTCTACAGTCCAGTTTGTCAACTTTGCCAAGCCAAGCTCATGACTGACTTCTTCTCCTTCTTCTCCTTCTCCTTCTCCTTCTCCTTCTCCTTGCCTTGCCCATCTGGCGGGGTTTCCCTAGGCACTCTGGGCAGCTTACAGCATACTGTATATAAAAACATAAAACCTTAAAAACTTCCTGAAACAGGGCTGCCTTCAGATGTCTTCTAAAAGTTGTATCATTTTTTATATCATTGACATCTGGTGTTCCATAGGGAGGGGGCCACTACCGAGAAGGCTCTCTGTCTGGTGCCCTGTAACTTAGCTTCTCACAGTGAGGGGATCAGCAGAAGACCCTCTGAGGAGGACCTCAGTGTCTGGGCTGAATGATGGAGGGTGGAAAACACTCCTTCAGATATACTGGGCCAAGGCTGTTTAGGGCTTTAAAGGTCAGCACCAACACTTTGAAACTAGTTTCGAATTAGTTTGTCTTGTTTCACACATACTGAGTTAATGTCATGTCTCATAGCCAGGTGTGCATTTATTGGGTTTGGCTAGATAGCAGACCATGTTGTGCATTGGTAATGTCTACCCTGAGTTGATTGTTGGAAGCTGCCCTGGGTTTAGCCCCATAAAATGTGGATATATAAGGTATATTTTTAATGACTGCTAATGGTCTGTTAAGTGTTAGGAACTGGAAGCAGGTCTTGCAACCTTCACCACCCTTAGTAGGCATTTTCTTGTCATTGCTGTGATTCACTTCACTCTGAACACTGCCACTGCCTCTCCATCCTTATTATAGTACCAGCATGCTAGTCCTTCTTGTCCTATCTGTCCTGATCCCCTCTATAGATTCAACCAAATTGTTCTCAGCCCAATCTGAGCATACTCTGTGCAATCAATTGATTTTTCTATTTCTGTCACAAACGAGTTCTTTGATTACTCCTCATCTTGCTGCTCATTCCCCATGCTAGCAAGGTCTGGCTTTTTATGCAGAGACCCTACGACTCTTGGCTCAAGACCCAAAGATACCCTTCAGAGATTTAGTTCCTGAAACACAGGGAATGTGTGAACCCAGCCCATACAAATGACTCGCCGATGTGCTTTTGACTTGTGCATTGAAAAGAAAGCTATTTCCCCCCCCCCCCAATGATAGTGGGGAAACCAGATAGGTTTGTTTGTTTGTTTTAAGAGGATCACTGCTAACTGTAATTCTTTGGCTTTGCAATGCTGCCCCTTGAAAATGAAAAGCACAGTCATCTTGTGAAATGCAATATATTTTCAGTGGAAGGAATTGGTTTAGATTTAAGTTGGAGCACGTAGTTGCAGGGGATTAGCGTGGCAATGCAGGGCCTGGGGCCAATTGCACTCACTGGCCACTCATCTGCATACCTTACTGCAGAACTCCCTAGAGTGCACACTGCATAGGTCCCACCACAGTCCTCACACTTCATCCTCTCAGCCCTCCTTGGTTTAAAATGGGTGGGGGTCCTTCCTCAGAGCGAGGCATTCTGGGAAAGTTTCCACTAGTTCCGCCCTGATTAGAGGTTTAGGCCAGGGGCGGGGAAAGGTTTTCAGTCCAGTGGTCACAGTCCTTTATGGACAACCTTTTGAGGGCTATGGGTCAGTGGGGGTGAGGCCAGAGGCAAAGTGAGAAGAGCAATAGTCTAGTTTCTTTGCACTTTTGTACCTGTTCTACCTCCATTGAGGGAAAGAGTTCAAGAGCACATTCCAGTCGGACAAAAGCCCCTCAGGGAGGGTGACGAACAGGGCTGGTGGTGAGGGGTGTGACTCAGGAGGATGAGTTTTGAGATCCAAATTGACAGACACACACACACACAGGGCCGTCTTACCCATAGGCACTAGGGGTGCGGGGCACCCGGGCGCTGAGCTCTCAGGGGCGCCAGGCCGAGAGTCCGGGGTCTGAGAGTTGAGTCCGGAGAAGAGCCCATCTTTCGGTCAGAGCGCTGCGGTGGGCTCTTCTGCTGCAGGTGGCTCTGCACTGCGAGTTCAGGAGTGACCGAACCAGCGAGATGCTGAGGCGGCTGGCTGGCTCTGCCCTCCTGCGCGCCTGGGACTGGGCAACGGGGGGGGGGGGGTGTGCCAGGCAGATCTTTGCACCCGCATATGCTTAAGACAGCCCTGCATACACACCAACCTGAGGTTCCCCATTCCTGGTTTAGAGTAAACCATTGTGAAAATGTCCCGTTGTAAAACACCTGGGGAGGAACTACAAAGCAAAACAATTCACTACTCGGAATAGGCAGTTGTTAAAAGAACCTAGGCAACACATTTTGGTGTACACACAGCATAAAAAGGCTTCTTCCTGAATGATATGCAACAGTGCTTTACTCAATCTTTTCAGG